ACTAGGTGCACGCGTCCCCCCCCCCCCCCCCCCCCCCACTAATTTCATATTTTTGATTTAGTGGGGCAGTTTGCTTAAATACAAACGGATTTTTTTTACTGCACATGGAATCTATCGTACTCATTCAAAGTGCTCCAGAGCCTCTTTTGAAAAAAATCCACCGGAAACCCAAATTTCTAAAAACGTTTTGTTTGCATTTGCTGGTTCAAAAATTCCTTGACTTTTGGCACTGTTTCACTTTTTCTGGCCAAATACGAAATTCTCCGACCTTGCAAAATTTCTACATTTCCCCTACTTTCCCTGACAATGTTGAGTGGGAACCCTAATATTGTTCTTGCTGATAGCATCGAATTTGACGACCTCAATAAGCCTTTTTGTGGTTTAGGTTACCTATGAAAAATCGCGTTTGATCAATGAAGAGTCAGGGGATTTATTTTACCAGGAAAGCGGTAACCCTGAAAGTGAATGAGGGCGTCATAAGAAAAAAGTGCACCGTAGTACGCTTGAATATATTGTTTTTATTTATTTATTTCAAAGAAAGTGAAACTGAAACTGTTCGTATGAAAACCTCGAGTGCTTCAGGAGGAGGTGGGGTAGTAGCAGCAGTTAATCCTAAACTGGCAGCAGTGACTAAAGTTCGTTCTCTCTTTCCTGAGACATGGCTGTGGATGGATGTCAATGCAAGGTATAGGGATGGGTGGATGTCAATGCAAGGTATAGGGATGGGTGGATGTCAGAGCAAGGTATGGAGATGGGTGGATGTCAATGCAAGGTATAGGGATGGGTGGATGTCAGTGCAAGGTATGGGGATGGGTGGATGTCAATGCAAGGTATAGGGATGGGTGGATGTCAATGCAAGGTATGGGGATGGGTGGATGTCAATGCAAGGTATGGGGATGGGTGGATGTCAATGCAAGGTATGAGGATGGGTGGATGTCAGTGCAAGGTATGGGGATGGGTGGATGTCAGTGCGAGGTATGGGGTGGTTGGATGTCAATGCAAGGTATGGGGATAGGTGGATGTCAATGCAAGGTATAGGGATGGGTGGATGTCAATGCAAGGTATGGGGATGGGAGGATGTCAATGCGAGGTATGGGGGCTGGTGGATGTCAATGCAAGGTATGGGGGTGGGTTGATGTGAGTGCAAAGTATGGGGGTGGATGGAATGCAAGGTATTTAGGATAGGGTCATAGAACAAGTACACCATCATCATCATCATTGCTATTACCACAATGGTCGTCATCTCATCACCATCAGCATTACCATCATCATCATTGTCATCATGACCATTAGTATATCACCATCATGATCATCAACATCATCAGCTAACATTTGGATATCTTTCTCCTTATAACAGTTCATCAGGCCAGGCTGAGATCTCCACTTCCGTTCCTGACACCATCACGTCATGGGTAGCCAGTGCTTTCGCTGTTTCTCCCACCACAGGATTTGGTATTGGAGCACTAAAACCCAATGTAAATTAAACACATATTCGTTAATTTAATTTTAAATTAGGGGACTGGCCACCAAGTAACTGGGGGGAGGGGGGAGG